TTCCTCAAAGCCTTAAGCATTAAACCACGTTTACTCTTTTTAAAACTTTAATTGCAAATCCTTACCGAAAATTCTAATATTTGAATATGTTAAACTAGACATCTCCAACTTTACAACGACATATTATACGTCTCAATCGGAGTTGTATAACTCCGGTTATGTTTTATGCAAAGTGACTGCTGCAACTGGAATTTCCAGCAAACAAAGTGCGAATTCAAAATGACACTACGATTAAACCACTTATCCAATGGCTACGAAATTTTACGAATTTGTAGCCCTATGTGTTATCTTCACATAGGTCCAAATGGAACTTAATTTGGAGCTCTGTAGCTTAAGATATAGAATTTTTACTAAAGAAATATCGGGATATCGATATCCGAATGTCATTTTGGTATATCAATATCCGGATATTTCTGGAGGAATATCCGGATATCAATATCCGGATATCATATCCGGATATCAATATCCGGATATTGGTTTTTCAATATCGGGATATTTTGCGACAGCCTTCAAAACATGCATTTTCTCAAGAGTTTTTCCTACAAGGTTCAAATTTTAACACTTTCAGACCTTCAAGCATGCATTTTTATACCCTTATTGGTTCATGATCATGTTAGTTACTTAAACCACTCATTAACATGCCAAGACTCAACCTTTAAACAAGAAAAACTCATGATCAAGGTAAGAAACATACCCAAGGCTTCAAAACAAAAGTAAATGGTGCTCTTGGAGCTCTCTCACCAGCCTCAAGGTTCAGACTGCACAAGGACAAGAAAATGGCATACAAGACTTAATTTTTCTTCACAAAGGTTACCACTTGGAACTCCCCACAACCAAAGGAATGACTCCCACAACACCCAAACTCAGAGACAGCCCCCACACTCCAAAGTCGGCAACTACAACACACCCAAGCAAGGACCTTTCAGCCTCCAAGTGACCTCTTTCAAGTTGTAGCAAGGTTGGCTAACTCAAAGAAGAAGAAATGATGAAGAAGGTTGGGTTTTTGAGGGAAGGGTGGCAAAAACAACACAAGGAGCTCATGGCAGCCATCAAAGTCAGAAAACTCTACGTAGGAACAAAGGGAATTAACCTAGGTCTTTGTGCCAATGGTTATTTATAGTCTTATTAACTCTAACCACACTGTATTAGCACCAATAGCTATGCTTATCATTTTAATATCAAACTTTGGATTCTGAACCTAGCCATTTTTCCAGGATTTTTCATATTTTTATTTTATTTTTCGCAGTACTTTTTCGGTACGCATTTTTACTTAGCCAGTATCAGTTCACACACCAGTTCTCATTATTCCGACTTGAAACTTGTTTTACTTGTCCTACATATTATTCTAGGAATATTCATGTATTTATTATAATTTTTCGAGATACTTCATCGGTACACATTTATACCGTGGAGCAGAACCGGTATCCGCACTTTTCGTCAGAAAAACGACTTTCAACATTAATACTCACTTACCATAATTATTTAAACCTTCTCATAATTATTAAGGTCAATTATGGAATTATCTCATTAATCTCATAATTTATTATTTAAATTCCTAAATTAACGGTGCAGGTTCTTACTTTCACCCCACCTTTTTAGAATTTTGTCCGCAAAATTAGAAACACACATGTCCCGAAACTCAGGTTATTGCCGGAGAAGCTCGTCCTCTCGCTCCAAAGTGCACTCCTCAGGAGTTATTCCCGTCCAAGATCGAGAATCTTGAGTCGTCTGACGGGAGTCTTTAAGTTCTCCTGAACCTCCACATCATCCGGTTGCACCACGTGCGAAGGATCCGCTACGTACTTTCAAAGCTGAGACACGTGAAACACGTCGTGAATGTTGGTCAAGTTCGGAGGCAAGGCAAGCCGGTAGGCAACATGCCCTACCCTACCAAGAATCTGGTATGAACCTATGAATCTTGGGCTAAGCTTCCTCACTCCGAGAGCCTGACCAACACCGGTGTCAGGTGAAAGTCTCACGAACACGTGCTCACCCTCACTGAACTCCAGTGGTCGATGATTAATATCATAATAGCTCTTCTGGCGATTCTGCGCCTACTTCAGCTTCTCTCTGATCATCTGGATTTGCTGGGCAGTATCTTGGACAAAGTCCAGACCAAATAACTCCTTATCTCCAACCTCAGACCAACAGGTAGGAGTCCGACACCTCCTACCATACAATGCCTCATAGGGTTCCATGCCCAGGCTAGCATGAAAATTGTTGTTGTACAAAAACTCAACCAATGGCAGGTACCTATCCCATACTGAACCCTGCTCCAAAGTGCAAGCCCTCAACATGTCCTCCAAGGTCTGGATGGTCCGCTCAGTCTGTCTATCAGTCTGAGGGTGATAGGCTGTACTCAATCTCAACTGAGTCCTAAAAGCTCCCAGCAGCGCCTCCTAGAATTTAGATGTGAACTTCTGGTCCCTATCACTGATGATACTCTCGAGCACCCCGTGAAGCCTCACGATCTCGCGAACATAAAGTCTGGTCAACTGCTCAGTAGTGAAGCTCACCTTTACTGGAAGAAAGTGGGCAGACTTCGTCAATATGTCCACTATGACCCAGATAGAGTCACAACCAGTCTGAGTCTTAGGCAAACCCACCACGAAGTCCATGGAAATGCTCTCCCCTTTCCACTGCGGTATCTCAAGAGGTTGAAGCTTACCAGACGACTTCTGGTGTTCAAACTTCACCTTCTGGCATATAAGACACACCAACTTCATTCCAAGACACACCATCTTGGTTCCTAACATAATCAAAGCACTCTCCTTGCACCTGCGCCTCTTTGATCTTTTCCATCAGCTCATTCTCAACTCTGACGGTTTTCATCTCGAGAAGTGCACCCCCAACATAGAGGTCACTGATAGATCTCAAAACTTCAATAACCTCAAAATCTTCATTCGATTCTCTGGGATCGCCAGTCACTTCATCAATAGAGATGACCTGACTTCACATACTCTACTCCTCACAATAACTCGGGTGAGTTTAGGTCCTATTCCATGACTCTAGCCTCGACTTGACATACAATTTAATAAATCATATTCTCAAAGAGAATCACATTCCTTTCACAATACGACATCATAATCATGTTCATTTCAAACAATACATGTTAGTTAACATGCTACTTCACACAGTAACGTACCTTAGTTCACGTACACCTGCAAAATTTCCAATTCAAATAACATAATAATTAAATATTCTATGCAACATCATACCTCAATCTATATGGCATCTGCAAAATCGGAATTCAATAAAGGATGGTACAACATCGATGTATTAACACAGTACATGACATTTACTTCATGCTTAGTACTATTCATGGTGTTAACAGATCAACTACATATAAAACATATCAATACACTACATATTAAACTAGAGACATGGAGACTACTCGACCCACAAAACTAACTGTACATTCACTTGCCTCGCATATACCAGATCGTGCGTGGCCTTGCCACAAGATCCAAGTGTTACACACTTAAATTCCTTAAAGAGAATTTCACATTTTCAAACAAAGCACCATCACAATTTGGTAATGGCGTGAGATATCTTACCTTCCATGCCTAACTTTGGCATATCACTCTTAGTATATTTTACTCATCCCACCCACTTGGTGGTTGTAGAGTATAAACTCATATTTCAAGTCTCTTAATGCATTATCATAGCGTGAGGCAACTAAAATTGATTGATATGTGCACCTCGTGCACCTGAACCACCCAATGAGTCAACTCAAATCGGTGCCCTCATAGGAATTCCAAGAGTCAACACTCCTAGAATGCAATCCCCAAAGGAAGCCCATGATATAGATTATCGGCCAAAGAACAATTAGGCATAACAGCCTCCTGTATATCTCGTACACAAGGACCACTCAATGAATCACACATCAACTGAGCGTCTGACGGTATAGTTAAATTAAGGGGAATAGTTAAATTAAACAAACTTTCTTTTCCAATTTAAAGGGAATAGTTAAATTAATACTTGGTGCATTAATCCTTGAGAGAACGATCTTTACTTATCTCTTTTATTACTTGAAACGAACGGTATACTTGCCGAGTTCGCAACAAGTTTTTGGTGCCGATGCCAGGGATTAATTACGCCAATTTTATTTTTAACTCTCGATCTTTAAGATTGGATTTTTATTTTTTTATTTTTATTTTTATTTTTTTATTTACTTATTTTTTTATTTCTTTTATTTAATTTTTTATTTTTTTATTTCAGTTTTTATTTATTTATTTATTTTTTAAAAAAATTTATTAACAAAAAATTTGTTATTTTTTTTTTATTTTTACCAATTTGATTTCTCTCTTTTATGCGAGGTAAAGTTAACCGTGAAACCTTACAATTTGATCCAGAAATTGAAAAGACTGCAAAGATGAATCAAAAACTAACCAAGCTAAGGAAACAAGAGAAATCCTCGAGTTCAGAGCCAAAAGCAGAACTCGAAATGGCAGCACCTAATCCACCACCGGATGAAGAATTGATGGAGTCAATCCTGGCTCAATTGTTCATAAGGCCAAATTCTAGTATCGTCAGACCACTAATTAATGCTAACAATTTTGATATCAATCCAACACTGATCTCCTTGGTGGAGAAATCCATTTGGTGGGGAAGATTATGAAGACCCTCATGATTTCATTTACAGATTTATAAGAATCTGTGATACAACCAAGCATCATGGGGTGTCAGATGATGCAATTAGACTCCGGTTGTTCCCTTTTGTTGTAACAGGGAGAACTTTGAGATGGTTGGATAGACAAGCCCCCAACAACATCAGAACATAAGATGAACTGGCGGCCAAGTTCTTCGCTGAGCACTTTTCCATGGAGAAATACAACAAGTTGGTTAATGAAATTACCAACATCACTCAATAGCCAGAAGAAACTTTGTGTGCAGCTTGGACCAGATTCCAAAAACTGATCAGGAAGTGCCCCCAGTATGACTTGTCGGACGGAAAGAAAGTCAGAGTCTTCTACAATGGGATAACACCTAAGTTTAGAATGATTGTCAATGGTGCAGCTGGTGGAACCATAGGGAAGAAGACAACAGTTCAAACCTTGGAACTGATCGACAACATGGCAAGGAATGAGAACGCATCAACGACAGTTCAACCAGTTCAACCAAGACAGGGAATTCTGCAATTGGGAAACAATGATGCATCGCTAGATGAACAAAAGATCTTATCTCAACAGATAGCCAGTTTGAATGCTAAGTTGGACAAGATGCAACTTTCTTCAGCTCAAGTTAATTCAGTTAATTGTGAGTATTGCAAAAGAGTGTACGACACCAACGAATGCCCAACACTTGTAGGAGCTGATTCCTTCCAAGTTAATGGAGTCTGGTATGCTCCAAGACCACAACAGAATTTCCAGAGAAATTAGAACAATGCTCCAGGAAACAACTTCTAAAGGAGAATTCAAGGGGGAGGTTTGGATTACAAATCCAACAATTATTTACAACCTTCTCCTATTCCACATAAGGAGCCATCCGAATTGGAAAAACTTGTGGAGACCATGGCTTCAACCACCAATGCTTCATTCAAGAGACAATATCAAATTTCAAGACTCAAGAAGCATTGATCAAGAATCAGGAAGCTTCAATCCGAAATCTTGAAACTCAGATTGGACAGTTGGCCAAGCAATTGAATGAAAGAGCTCGGGGAACAATGCCTAGTGTAGTGACACTGTGATTAATCCAAGAGAGCATTGTAATCCCATCACTACTAAAAGCGAGGATCTAGAAAAAGATGGAGTTGAAGCTTCTACAGGCAAGAATGAGCAAAGTCAAGAAGGCAAGGAAAAAGCAAAAGAACAACCTCCAGTAGTTCAAAAGAAGCAATGAGATTTCTCACGTTTTGAAAAACCTCCATATCCCATGATGAGCAAGCAACAGGAACAAAGAAAGCAATTGTCTAACTTTTTTAGATATTTTTAAGAAATTGCAAATTAACATTCCTTTTGCAGAAGCTCTGAAGAAAAAGCCTTCGTATGCTAAGTTCTTGAAGGAGACAATATCAAAGAATCGGAAGCTCACAGAGGATGAACATGTTACACTAACAGAGGAGTGCAGTGCAATCATACAGAAAAACTTCCCTCCAAAGTTGAAGGATCCAGGGAGCTTCAGTATTCCATGCACCATTGGCAAGACGACTATAGAGCAAGTCTTATGTGATCTTGGTGCCAGCATAAATGTGATGCCCCTCACCCTGATGAAGAAGCTGGGAATTGATGAAGTCAAGCCAATAAGGATGAATGTTCAACTCGCTGACCGCTCAACAAAGCAAGCACATGGTATTGTTGAAGATGTGCTCGTCAAGTTAAACAAATTTCTAATTCCTATTGATTTTGTTATTCTTGACATTGATGAAGATGCCAGTGTGCCTATCATCTTTGGAAGGCCATTCCTAGCAACCTCAAGAGCGCTAATCGATGTACCTAAGGGTTAATTGATAATGCGCGTGGATGGAGAACAAGCAACATTCAAGGTACTTACAGATAAAGCTCTATTTCCTGCATCTCAACCTAAAGATCATGTCAACGACATTGCGGAGAAAAAAGTTGAGGAAGGGAACAAGAAGGAATTCCATCATCAGCATGAAGAAAGCAAGCCAAATGTTAAGATGAAAAAGCTCAAGAGTAAGGAAAAACTTGTGAAAACTAAGTTTAAAGTTCTTGAGAAACCTCATCCTCACCCACGTGCATATGATCATGGAAGGACACAATACTGGACCAAGAAGATTGGGTCATCAATGGTAGCGTGCTTCCAACCACCGTAATCACAAGGGGTACGTCAGGCTCGTGATGTTAAACAAGAGCTAATTGGGAGGCAACCCAATAGTCATTTTTATATTTTTATTGTATTCATTTTATTTTGATTAGGCTAGTTTATTGGTGAATTAATAATCATATGAAAAATTTTTAAATTTGGGAATTTGAGCTATCAGCGGCATAAGAAAAAAAGACACAGTAAGTCCGCGCTAAAAGCCCCAGGACGGCGCTTTCAGCGCCAGCATCCCTCGAAATATTCGCGCTTACAGTGCCAGGATAGTGCCAGAGGGTCAAACTCTTACAGTAGCTCTGCGCTAACAGCGCGAACTCCACGCTGTCAGCGCCAGTGTCCTCATCATTTACCTTGACTTTAGTAATTTTATTTTGAGGTTTTGAGTATTTTGTTTGGATATTTTGTTTTGGTTATGTCTCTTCTTACACTCTACTGTTATGATTATTCTGTTTGATGTTTAACAAGTGTATGTGTTCCACCTACGCAGAAGTAGCTTCTCTCACTAGTTTAGTTATAGCTAGGGACAACAAAATTTTAAATCTGGGAATTAGGGCGCATACGCGCTAACTGGGGAATCACACTACGGTGACGTCTAACAGAAAATTTTATGTTAAAAGAGGAGATACTTTAACCTTTCTTTTTATTAATTTTTGCTGTTTTTAATTCAATTTTTTTTATTACACAATTTTTTAGAAAAAAAATAAAAATAAAAACAAAAAAATAGTGAATCCCTGAACAAGCATCCCTAAATTGTGCAAAACGTTTACTCTGTAATTACATAGATTCAATCATAAGAAGCATTTGTGATATCTGTGGAGCATCAATTTATTGTTATAATTTGAGTGTTATGATTGCTCATTTGTATAACTGCTTTGATGAATTATTTTTAAATAATGCTTGATGTGAAATTTTGAAATTAGATTTTAACTTGAATTTATATCTGTGAGGATTGAGCCTAAATAGTAAAAAACAAATTCAGATAAGCCTCACTGTAGTAGTTTTCTAGAACTTGATCTGTTTCTCTAGCTTGCATGCATTACTGACATGATAAAGGCACGTTTATTCTTGTTAACTTAGAGCCAAATAGCCTACCTAAAAGAATTTTCCATTGTTAAGCCCTTTTGAGCCTAAGACCAATTTATTCAAAAACTTGATGAAAATTACTTAACCAATTTTCCCAACGACACACCTTGAAAGAGATTGAAATACTGATCAAAGAAAAACTCAAGGTACTTCTCAAAAGAAAAGTTAAGTAAGTTGAAAAATGAAAAAGAAAAATGGTTTGCAAAAATGCAGTTCAAAAGAGTAAAGAAAGAAAACATCTGCAAACAAGAAATGAAAAAGAAAAAAGGAAATGAAAAAGGGAATAAGAATCCCAAATTGATGAAAAGTGGCAGAAGTAAAAGATTGAGAAGAAAGTGTTGTAAAAAATCTCAGTATTTCAGTCTCAAATATTAATCAGCCTCTTTCCAAAGATTCTTACCCCCAACCCAGGCCAAGTTATAACCTATCAAAAACCTTTTGATCAGTGTATGCATGTCAAATGAGTTTCTCAATCTTAGGAATTTGAGAATATGATCAAGTCTATGGAATTACTACTACACTGATGGAATGAGTGTTAAACCTTCAAACACTAGAGTGATGAGAGTTACATATTTATCCAGTGAGGAACATTCAAGTTATGATCTTAATTTCTTGATAAAACTGAAAAACATTGTTTAGAGTTTTTCAACAATAAAGTTATACATGCATAGCAGTATGATCTCTTAAGATATTTGTGTTCCATGTTTTTCTCTCCACAGAATTCATCCTTGCTTCTATCTTTGATCTAATACATTACTGAGGACAGTAACATTCAAATCTGGGAATTGTTTGATATGCCTCCAGCATATATATGATTTTAAGCCAGAAAGAGAAAGAATCTTGATCAATCTTAAATAAAAAGGGCTAGAATTATTATTAAATTGATAAATTTTAATCAAATATCTTGTCATTGATTTTCTTATGATTTTGTAGGAAAATAGGACAAAAAGAAGCTCAAATTGGAGGCACGCAATTATTTTAAAACTTGATTCAGACTGTATCAAAGGAGATTGGACCAGGATATACGATGAAGATTCGATCAAGATTTCTACACAAGGGAACAAAGTCTATAAGTAGAGACTCAGACCTCAGAAGAAACAATCTTTGGCTGGAGAGAATTCTTGGAGGCCCACGCTGGAGATCAGGATTCCGACGGAGTTGAAGAACGAAGACCATTGTTCCTTCATCTTCTTCTTCTTCTTTTTCTTTATTGTTTTCATGAATACTTTTTATTTCTTTAATTTGTTAGAGTCAGCTATGTCTGGCTAGTTTCTTTTTGTAGTTGAGATCACAGACCCAATGTGAATCCTTTATATTTCCTATACTGTTTTTTTAAGTTAATTAGTTAGTTTATTTATTCTTCATGTGTTAATTTTTCCATATCCTGTTTAGAACTGATCCCACTAAATTATAGGGCTTTGAGGGTTAGGGCTCACAATAGACATATTAGGGTTTTAATCTGGACAGGGTAAAATAACAATTTGTGCATAATCTAGACATAGGCTTACAAAGATTGCAGACTTTTAATTCATTTGCTTAATGCTCAATTCAAGAGGGATTACTAGGACACTAGGATTCTAATTGGGTTAAAGGGTTGAAATCACTAAGACATTAGGGTTCAACTATTTTATAGGAAAATAATGAATTGTCTGAGGAAACGAATTAGTTAATTATAAAATACAATATAGGAATATAGAGGAGGATCAGTGGTGAAGTGCATCATGGCTACAGTCTTTTTACAATTTTTTCATAACTTATATTTTCTTGACATTCTTGATCTTTTCTTGCATACTTTTTAAATATTATTGTTTTTAAATTTTTGTTTTTAAAGTTCCAACAATCAATCACTTTCACAAATCAAACAAACTTTCTTTTCCAACTTAAGGGGAATAGTTAAATTAATACTTGGTGCATTAATCCTCGAGGGAACGATCTTTACTTATCACTTTTATTACTTGAAACGTACGGTATACTTGCCGAGTTCGCAACAACAATCATTACACAATTTTTCATTAATCAATCCATGCCAAGGATGATCTCCAAATTAGCCATAGGTAAACCAATTAGGTCCACCGAGTACTCTCGGCCATCCAACTGAAACACAACATCACAGTGCACAGATGAAGTATCACACTTCTCCCCGGTGGCGGTAATAACCCACAAAGGTGGAGAAAGCACAGAAATGGGCAACTTAAGCCCCACAACAATCGGGTTTGCAGTGAAGGAATGTGTGGCCCCGAAATCAAACAACACATCTACGTCACAACCACCAATAGAAACAGTACCTCTCACAAGGTTCTGAGCTCTATCCGACTGCTGGCGGTCTAAGGTATACACTTGGCCCGTGGCTGGTGGTGCAGTAGGTGGTGCGGTAAAAGGTACTGAAATCATCTGAAGTGGTGTAGCTTGGGCAACTGCAACCCGAGCAACTGATGCATAGCAATCCTTGGCTAGATGGCCACTCTTCCCACACTTGTAACAAAGTAGCTCACCAGTGGCATAACGTCCCACATGCTCTTTTTCGCATCCTGCACATCTAGGAGTAGAAGGAGGTCTAGCAAAACCCCTCTACGGTGTAGAAGTTCTTTTGAATTTTTTGAACGGTTGTCTGGCTTGCAACTATTTTCCTTTGCCTTTTGCCGTCATACCTGTTGTCCCTCCCATGATAGGAATCACTAATTTCTTTTTTTCTCAGATATCTTGGCCTTTTTAGCCTTGCTGACCACACACATATCCTCTATATCGCGACACTGCTGAATCAATGTGCCAAAGTTTCTAGATGCAACTCTAGCTTCCTGTCTGTTATCTCCTCATTCATACCTCTACGGGACTTGGAAGCCAAACACTAGGTGTAGGTCTAACAGTCCAAAAATGTGCAAATTTGATTAGCTCATTGAACTTAGCCAGATACCCGTCCACTGTCATTGAGCCCTATATTAGGCGCTCAAACTCTCCTTACTTGTGCTCCATGACATCATATGGGAAATAATTCCCCAGAAATAGCTCCTCAAAGAATGGCCAAGTAATAATCCGGCCCTGCATCTCGTACGCTTGAGAGGTGTTCACCCACCACTCATGTGCATCTCCCTCTAGCATGTAAGTAGCAACCAACTGCTTCTGTGGGTCGGTACACTACATAACTCTGAAGATCTTATCCAAAGACCGGAGCCATCTAGCAGCAACTATTGGATAATAGGATCCATCAAATGAAGGTGGCTTATGCTTGCGGAAGGCATTAAGTCAGCGATCCATGGTCTCTTGATCTTATACTGGCTCATAGTAGGGATGCATCATGCCCGTAAGGTGACTCACACCCTCCATTTGGCTCAAACCGTCGTCATCAGGAGTGTGTATCCCTCCTCCTCCATTCACATCCTAGTGATGAGGTGGTGGCGGTGGCGATGGAGGTGGTGGTGGAGGAAATTGGCCATCATTACGACCAATCCTCATCTCCTCCAACATGACCCTCATCATGGTCATGTTCGCAAGTCGGTTTGCCTCAAGCATGTTCTCAGTTGCTTTCCTATTCGCATCTCTCACGGTATCCAACATAGCCTGGTTGGTCGCTCTAATGGCCTCCTGATCGACTTGTCTAGCCGCCTGCATCTCAGCTAATGCAGTCAGGATTGGATCAAGATGACCCTCGTTCGTCTCCCGAATTCTCTTAGGAGGTGCCATAACTCTGCACATATTACACAAAGGATGACTTGATCAGGCCCTCACAATATGGTCACTCACGCATTATCATATCAAGACCTAAAAGAAACTCACTAGGTAGATCACACAACAAGGCATCTTACGTTCAAGCATGCCTTATTAGGTGTGTTATACTATTTTTACAGTTAGGTTACCAACTTTCTCTTATTACATGCATCAAGGTTCATTCTTCTCTATAAAAACTAAGGAACAAAGGTGTAGAAGGTACCCAAGGCTCTGTAAACAGAAAATGGAGTGTCTTTGAGGTTGGAAATCCACTCTTTGCTTCCACCAAGCACTGTACACAAAAATGGAGTGATGCAAATCACTCCTCTCACCACTAAGAGCTTCCAATCAAGCTTGATATTGGCTCCAACTTTAAAAACTCAAAAGACTCACTCTCACCTCCCTAAAACAGCAACAAGAATGTTCCAAGAAGGGATCTTTATGCCTCAAGATGGTTACTTTCAAGTTGTATCAATGGTTGATCCACTCAAGAAAGAAGAAAAATTGTGTATCGAGGTGTTCTTGAAGGGGAAGTGATAAGAGCTATGCAAAGGGTTCATGGCAGCCATGAAGGAAATGAAGACACAACGTAGACTTGTAGAATCTGACCTATAGGAACATTAGTTCTAATAGCTCTACTAATTATTTTTCTTCCAAATTTTATTTTCTTAACCTAGACATTTTTCTAGTTAAATATTTTTATTATAATTTTTGGAACACTTCACCGGTATGCATTTATACCGCAAAGCAAAATCGATATTCACACTTTTCGTCAGAAAAGAGATTTAATCATTATTCAACCTTCTAAATAATTATCCTATCATAATTATGCTTAATCTTTATCAAATCCATGTTCCAGCATCGATAATGTTATTTTATTAATTATTTAATGAAGCAGGTTCTTACACTGGGTGAATAGAACTCAAGAGGGAGTCCAGGGATTCTCACCCAAACTGCCATCTTCTTTACCGTTTCATCATAGGGGTCAAAGAAGGGCTGCCACCTCTGAACCATAACATAGTGGTCTGTCACAATCCATGGGCCTTCATGGAGGACATGTCGATAGTCAACTTCTTCTTGGAATTTGATTAAAAGGTGCCGGTTATCAAGGTCAATCAGCTCATAGGCATTCTGGAGTTCCCAAATCTTTTGCAGTTTCGCCATCAGGAAGAAACCACCAATCTTTTTCACTAAGAGCTTAACGATTAGAGTTCTATTCCATTTCTTGCAATCCTCTTTATTTTAACTAAGAGAGAAATGGTAAGTGGGGCAGAGAGGGTCAATCCCCCCTCCTTTTCAGTATCTTCCCACATTTCCTCTTCCTCTTCTTCTCTTTTCTATTTGGTAATCCAATCTTCATCCTCGCTGCCGGAGTCGTTGAAATCCCCGTTCAGTCCGAGCAACTTGTCCTAATAGAATATTACCTTCCTGCTACTCACCGAAGACTAGTTCGATTCATCTGCTGCCAACATTACATCATTTGGGACCTCAACTTGAATATCCTTGTTCTGTGCTTCTCCCTCGAGGTTAACCTCCTCCTGTGTTACCTCTTCCGTAGGTTGTTCAGTGTCTCCATCTCCTTTCGGCTTCTTCACGCTCCTGTTGCCGAGTTCTTCAAGTTTAGTGGTGGAACTCCTCCCCGCCATAAAGGGAAGAGAAAAACAAAGGTGGGGCAAAGATGCAAAGAAACTTCTCTATAATTTCTTTTTAACTTTTGTGATGGCACAATTTTTGATATGAGATAATTATCTAATTTAAAATGAGATAATTATTTCCCAAAAATTTGTAGAAACAGTGACCAAATTGCCACTGTTCCCCATCTTATTTCCCTAAATGTCATGCCAACAGTGTTATTTCCCCATTTGCCATGTGGACAAGTTCGCTGGGCACTATAGCGAACTCGGTGTGCTGATGTTTCACGTTCCTAGTGGACACCAAGGTCGCTGGTGTTAGTAGCGAACTTTGCAGCAATTAATGCTCTGCACGTTCCCACCTGCCAAGCCACATGGCTTGCATGCAACGAAGGTCACTGCCCACAGCATCAAATTACGTGTAACGGCTAGCATGCCACGTGGCTGACATGCACCAAGTTTGCTTGGGTGGGCAGCGAACTTGGTGCAACAGCTATTTTTCACCACCCTATATAAACCCCCCCTCCCCCCATTTTCGCCAACCCAATTCCTCTCACTCACTCTCACTATAATCTTTCTAATTTTTCTTTCTCTGTCATTTCATTTAACTTTCTACATTTAAGGTTAGTAATTTATGAAGTTAATTTTTTTACATCTTTTTAGTGTTATTTAAATATTGTTAATTATTATATATAGGATGAAACATTAAGTTAGAAGACAAGATTGTGACAATGGCTTAGGATATGCATGTTAATGTTATTAGGTTTAGTATTTTATATTAATGTATTATTTAATAATATTAATTGTTTGATATTATTTATAGGGTTTAAATTTAGGTTATAAGTTATTTACATCAATGTTGTTAAATTTACCAATTAACTTTTTTAAATTATGCAATTATTAGTAATATTAATTGAATATTAATTGTGCCATATTGTTTAATCAATGTATTAAATAAATTGTTCCTTATGCATTATTTATTTATAGGTTGAAATCTAGGTTAGAGAATTTTTATATTAGTATTGTTAAATTTTGTATTTAATAATTTATTGATTATGCAATAATTAATAATATTGAATTAAATAACATTATTTAGTTATAGTATTGAAAAATAGGTTAGAAAATTTTGACATTGGCTTAGAATATGTATGTTAATGTTATTAGGTGTAGTATTTTATATTAATGTATTATTTAATAATATTAATTATTCGATATTATTTATAGGGTTTAAATTTAGGTTATAAATTGTTTATATTAATGTTGTTAATTTACCAATTAATTTTTTTTAATTATGAAATTATTAGTAATATTAATTGTGCCATATTGTTTAATCAATGTATTAAATAAATTGTTCCTTATGCAATATTTATTTATAGGTTGAAATCTAGGTTAGAAAATTTTTATATTAATGATGTTAAATTTTGTATTTAATAATTTATTGATTATGCAGTAATTAATAATATTGAATTAAATAACATTATTTAGTAATAGGATTGAAAAATAGGTTAGAAAATTTTGACATTGGCTTAGAATATGTATGTTAATGTTATTAGGTGTAGTATTTTATATTAATGTATTATTTAAAAATATTAATTATTCGATATTATTTATAGGGTTTAAATTTAGGTTATAAATTGTTTATATTAATGTTGTTAATTTACCAATTAATTTTTTTTAATTATGCAATTATTAGTAATATTAATTGAATATTAATTGTGCCATATATTTTAGTTAATGTATTCAATAAATTGTTCTTTATGCATTATTTAATTATAGGTTGAAATCTAGGTTAGAAAATTTTTAAGTTCATGTTGTTAAATTTTGTATTTAAAGAATTCTTGATTATGCAATAATTAATAATATTGAATTAAATAACATTATTTAGTTATAGGAGTGAAAATAGGTTAGAAAATTTTGGACATTAATCTTGTTAAATTATTATATTTTATTATTTTTTATTATGCAATTCTTAATAATATTAAATTAAATAACATTATTTTGTTATAGGGTTGAAAATATAGTGTAGAATATTAATTGTGTTATATTATTTATTGATTATGCAATATTATTGTGAACACCCAATTTTGTCCCAAATATTTAAAAATGACAAAAAAAAAATCTAAACTTTAAACATTTATTTTCTTAAAAAAAAAGATTTAAAAAAAAGGGAAATTAAAATAGAAAATATTTCTTTTTATAATTTGTAATTAGCTGTTATTAAAAAAAAAGAAAAAAAAAGAAAACAAAAGCAAATTCTGCACAGGACGCATGCAAAGTAGAAGTAGACAAAGGGTAAAAAAAAAAACAAAAGGACGGTTGAGGAAGAGTGTA